ACTCACAAAACTGTTAAAAACCTGGATATTAACACATAAAACTGCCAAAAATCTGGATATTAATGCATGAAACTAGTAAAGATGTGCATATTTACACACAAAACTTTTAAAACCCTGGATATTACCAAACTGTAAAAAACGTGTATATTAATGCACAAGAACATATATTAATCAGCCACAACAATAAAACCGCTGAGATTAAGAACAGCTCTACACTACAATTCAATTCAATAATCTGCTGGGAAACCTTGGATCCTGGCATTCATGTGGATGTGACTATGAAACCTACCACCTGCCTAAGCATAGCTGCAGACCAAGCACACCTCCCACATGGCAACAGCACTCCCAGATGGAAGCAGTCTCTTCCAGTAAGACAAATCACCCTACCACACTGCTAAAGTTGGTCACAAACAGCTCAAGGAACCTGACAAAGAGCTCAAGGGGTTGTTTCAACTCCCCAGATACCAATCTGATTGTGCAAACATGGGATGCGCTGGAACATGCCATGGAGCCCCCACCTCGCAGCCACAGGGCCCCAAGGATCTGCTAACACAATGCCAGTCCAACACCCCAAAGGGCACCCTCAGTGGTCCTTTCTCCATGCCCAATATTAAGGGAACCGAGACAATATTGGTTTTAATGTTTTGGCTGCTCAGTGCACATTAGTGTTGTCAGTCTTTTTGAATACATATGGGAAAACTACAGGTATTACTGATAACATTAACAGACACTTCTGTCTATTCTAACTGTCCCAGTAAGCCATGACAGCGAGCCAGCATGAACAACACCAAGAAACTATCCGTCTCACTTGTCTCTGGATTTGTCACAAGAAAACCATTCACAGAACAGTGGTGTGAAAAAAAGACCAGCCTACCTGTGATATACACTTGATGTATCGCGAAGCTGCCACTCTTAGTTCCTGATGCTCAAACAGGTCCTTGCATGGAATCCTCGCCAGCAGTTTTATCTTCTCTGTCTCTGACATCCCTTTAACAAGACTGGAATTCCCAAATCTGTCAATATCCAAGTTGATACTGAAGGCACAGAGGAAGCTCTTTCCATCCATGAGCGTGACAGACACCCACACTGCAGGTGCTATCAAAGATCTCTGTGTGATGGAACAGAACATGTAGCGCAGGATTGTTGGATCCTTCGTTCGTCTCCCCGTGGGTCTCCTCCACTCCTCGGCGAGCACTGACACATTATTGTTCAATACAAAGCCTAACAGGAAGAACCAAATAGGGGGAATAATAAGCAGTCCGATCCCGTAAGTGTAGTTGTATTCTGGCATGCAGGGGCAGCTGAACTCAAAGGCAGAGTACATCTGAGCACTAGCCAGTGCCATGATACCGCAGATCCCGTTCATAAAAGACTCCTGATTGGATTGGAGGAACTGGAACATCATACGAAACTTATCCATCTTGGGAGATTTGGTGGATTTTCAGCTCAGATGCAGTTAAATCTGTGAAACGTAATAGCAGGATGTTTAAACAGCAAAACAGTGAAAAAGTGGTGGAAAAGTTAACACAATATGTTAATTCTTGTGTCACTGTGTACATAAATTACTTAAGAACCGATGCAGGTTGATTATGGCACTTTCTGATAAGAACCTCTTCAAAAAGGGATATGTTAGTATTTATTTCATTAAGAGTGAATAAATGACTAACGTTTAAACATTGTTCATAAGCGCATAATAGGAGCAACGACTGCACTGCCAGATTGTGAAACATCTTTCTTGTTGTTGAGTTGTTATTAAAGCCCTTAACTGTGATTAATAAACATCGTAAACCATCAGATATGCCGTTATGTATGTTAGGAAACCATCACATTAGTAATAAATACATGGTAGTTGAGATGCTCTGTAGCACTTTACAGATGAGAGGCCCAGCAATCAAAGTTCTAAAAGCATTTTCTTATTAATGGCTATTACTGTTCTATAAAGCATTTGTAAATGATTTATTAACAGTTAAAAAGCCAAATATTTTAAGTGGTTTTATTAATACAGCACTACCAGATTCATATCATAGTGACCTTATTCTAAACCTGCTTTTACACAAAGTTAGGAATCTGTAGAAGTCAATCAGAAAGTAAAATCACACTCATTTACCTTTGTACTCAATCGTGGATGATCAGATGAAATCATATGGCAATGATGTCCATACTAAATAAACTATAGTTCTCTATGTACTGCACAAACATTGCAGCTGATCGACTCAAAGGCGCTTCTCGGACTCTCTGCTGATGTTCAAAGACGACCAAATCGTCTGTCATCATGCTCCTCCCTTCACAAGCATCTGTGTTTAGCGTAACTCAAAAGATTCTTATTCAAGCTACATTTTCTCAGAAGTAGACTTGTTGCAGGGCTCCAAAAATGCTTACGTAGTTCCCACTGTTTTACCACGGTTTAAATTAATATCTTTATTTGCTTAGATAAATGCATTGTGTAGTCGTGTTAATTTAAGGTATTGTTTGTGTGTTGTCACAACAATCCAGACATGCAAAACAAACTATTCAAATGTCTGTGGCTTTGGCTGGAAAATTTGCTTTTTGTGTAAGAGGTGAGGAGTGAACCGGTTTGCACTCGCTCAGTCAGAATCAAATCAATACAATAGCTTCATGCTATCAAAATATGAATATTATTAAATCTCTAAGTGGATTTCATATAGCCCTTTGAACACACCTGGACCCACTGAATGAAAGTAAGCTTGATAAACCAGTTTAGAAGCCCACAATAAGATAAAAGGCAGGGGCTTTACCCTCCTATTCATATAGTATTCATATAGTTTTAACAAAAGTATGCGGCCCATCACGTTATCTTTGTTGTCAGAGTGGAATATGTTAATCCTAAAACTGTCCAAACGACTCATCGTTACGCCTCAGCTGAGACTTCTGTGAAAGTGCAGTTAAAATGACAGGAAGCCTGTCAGCTTTTTTTCTTCTTCTGGGTATTGCACACTAAAGTGTCGCAGCAGAGCACATGGGCAGGGTTTGCAGGAAATAAGTCACAAACGACAATCTACGTCTAAAATAGGAAGAGACCAAAGAGCCTGTTAGCTGCTGTTCAAGGTTGTTCTCTTATTTCCTCATTTTTACCTATTCACACTTTACCGGAGCATTGCGTTATTCAGATTATCAATCACCTGTTTCGGTGCGTATTCTTCTTTTTCTACTTTAATTTTATGTACAATAAGTAAAGGTTTTTAATATTTAATGTGAGCATGAAAAGACATGAGTTGAGAAAATGTTTGTCTGCCATCTAGGAAGTCTGTTTATTCTCTGTGGCTGTGCATCATTGTGAAATTTGTCAGCTGGATTTCTGATTAACCATTTTTAAATACAAATGCCAGAATATTTACTCATTTAATTAATCACTAATGCATTTTTGAAATTGAATGTCGTTTAATCCATTCACAGACAGCACTGATGTTGCAAGAAACTCTGCTGCGAGTGTTTGTGGTAGCTCTGGGTCTCCTCATGTGTCCAAGGGACGACCATGTAGTTGAGGACTGGGATGACAGCATCGCAGTGGGGATGCAAAAGCATGAAGCAAGGCTGCTGAGAGAGGAAGAGAAATTGGACCAGGAAATGGCACCTGTCAGCGAGGAAATGACACATTCTGACAATGAAGGGCCTCAAGATGACATGAAAAACCTTCCAGAGGAAGAGAATCAGCCCAATCAACATGTCACCAAAAAAGATAAAACGTCAAATGTGACTGTCACCGACCAAGACTCAGAAGACAGCAGTGCTGATCACATATCCCCAGAGGAACAAACCGTAGCTAAATCTGATCCAAGTCTGCCACAAAAATATGACAGTGAACCTGAGACTGCTCTGAAGACTTTACAAGCCAGGGATGCCCAGACTGATAGCTCCTTTAGAGACCCAGACAGACCACAAGGGCAAAACAAAAAGCTTGAGGATAAGGAAACGTTCAAGTCCAAAGAAGAGGAAGCACCTCTTTCACGCATCCACACCAAGACATCAGAAAATGAAACTTCAAAGAACATCTTCGCTGAGTGGTGGAGGGATTCCCTTGGGTATATGTGGAAGATATTCTCCTTCATTTCCATGATCCGCATCTTTAAGAGGTATCTTAGCAGAAAGTCGCAAATCAAACAAAAGATGACCCCTACTTCCTCAGCGACATGCACTGCTGCTGAAGTGCGGCTACCTGAAGTCGGCACTTTGTGGCAGTTTTATGCTAAATGTGTTCAAGTTTCATCAGAGAAGAAGTGGAGGAAGGATGAGTTTTTGGAAGGATTTGGAAATGATCTGTTAGAAGCCATGAGAACCATCAGTGATAAAAATGGCGGTATGGTGATTGAAGATTTTGAGATATTGAACATGTCTGACATAATCATACCATTTAACCCACCAGAGCCATACAGGTTTCAGTATATCCTCTGGAACAACCAAACCAGTGACCCGTTGTCGGATATGCAGGTCTGTGGTCAAATAAAATTGTTGGAAAATAGGAATATCCAAAATGGCTGCCCCTGTCAGTCCTCTGATGCGGGTGATGACATGGTTTGTCTGCTGCATTGTGACAGCGAGAAAATAAAGACGAAACCAACAGATGCTTGTGATGGCCCTCTTTGCTCCAAGAACACTCCTTTCCTGTCAAAATCACAGGTGACCAGATGGTTTCAGGGCACCATCAAACAAGCATGGGCGCAGATTTCACACAAGTACGAGTTTGAGCTCAACATTCGCTACATCGACGCTCCGGGTACTCTGGCCATTCGATTCAGATCGGGGAAGAAGATCAACTTCACTATGAATCCTGTGCTTAGATTCAACAATGACGCCTATTTCTTCATTACACCTTGGTCCTCAAACGATTCGGACACTTTCTGGACTCTCTCACTGACTTCCTATGAAGACCATCTCCTAGAGCACCTCTCTAAACGCCTGCCTAAAAACTCCTGCCACATTCAAGTTCTTGAAATTGTACGTTTCCTCCTCAAGAGACAAACAGCGTTGTCAGGAAGTAGTGCTCTGAAGGACTGTCATTTCAAAACTGCACTAATGCATCTGCTTTTGACGAAAGACCCATCACAGTGGAAACCAAAGTGTGTGGATCTGAGACTACGAGACTTGCTGGCCTTCATGGAGAGGAGCCTTGAGAGGAAGCTGCTGAACCACATTCTTATCGGCAACCCGTTAACTGAGGTTATTGAACTGCCTGCTGAGTTCACCAAAGCAAAGCCGGTGAATCTCTTCCATCCCCTTGTGGTGCACAACTGCATATACAGACATGCTGTGATACATTTCCAGGAGATGCTTAAAAATGCTCAAATACTGATAGATGATTATGTTGTGAAGTGTACTCAAAGTGCCAACTGCTCCATTTAAGAAAAACAAAACAAAAAAAAAAGAAAACTTTGTTTAAATGGTAGTTTTTAATCTTCTCTTGAAAAGAATTCACACCACACAAGCAATTAAATTATGGTTCTTTTATGAAGCAATAGCACGTTGTGCAATAGAAGAATCCCAGAAAACAAGAAAATCATTTAAAAGCCTGATCATTTTAACATGGCAGCCTTACTGATCGCGGCTCCAGTCGTTTTCAAAGTCTGTAAGCTCTGCCAGGTCGGGGTCCTTCAAGCTGGATTCATCAGCATCAGAGGATTTAAACTGCGAGTCACCTTTCACATATTCATCCACACTGCTCAAGTCAACCTTCCAGGAGGGACTGGAGATGATGCTCCTGGCAGGTCCTGAAAAAGGAAATTTAAATTTCAAACCTTTATTACTTAAAAAATAAAATAAATAAATAAATAGTGCAGTACTTTTATGCCTTCAGATTCTGCAAGATCGTTTGGCTGTCAGACAATAACTTTAGATTTGCATCAGCACTGACCTCTTGAACTGACTCATAAGCCATTGTTTTATATAGACAGGGATTACAGTGACCTCCTCTTTTCATAATGTGTAAACAAAAAGGTTTAAAGTTACCCCTCTGCTGTCCTGCTGAGCATGTTGATTCACAACAGGCACACGTACAGTCATTACCAAAGAGCGCCTCCCACCTAGAAGTCAGAAATAGGGTTATCAGGTCAAAGGACAACTGAATTGTGACAGATTTGTTTTTGGCTGTTAAGCAACGTGTAGCATGCCACAAGAATCTTTACTGCAGGGTAGTTTCCACTCACTTTTTGGTACCGGAATTATAATTGCAAGCCTTTGAAGTCCGAGTTGGAGTATGTGGCCCCACAGAGAGCTCACAATGCATGTAGAGTTGCTGAAAGACATTTTATTTCAGTGTTAATATACAATTTCTGTTTTACAGCATGTGTCTTTTTAATATTGTATAATAATAGTACCTGCTGCGAGGTGGTGGAAGCAACGTTCTTGAAAATGAAGGCACCCACACTGAATTTCTGGACCATCTTCGAGTCAGCAGGGAGGAACTTGGACTGTAGCATCACCTTGCCATCAATCATGCAGCTGCAGTTAGAAGGATTATGCAGGTTTACTCCCAGCCAACAAGCTGAAGTTCATTTTAAATTCTGGAACAGTTTAGTTATTACCCGTAGTTGTCAATGATGGGATATTTAACATTTGAGTTAGGGTCTTGGGAGGGAGTCACAAAGCACTTGTTGATGTAAAGCCTCCCATTTCCAGAGCTTGGAGCACCGGCTACTCCACTGGCCTGAAAATACATCGGCTGTCCCAAGATGTAGGATTTAATTCCAGTGATTGCGTTCCCCGATGCTTCAGTGGGGTGAGAGAAGTCACAGGAGTTTAGTCAAAGAGGCACCGAGAAATGTTTCTGGAGCAGTTGGATTTTCTGAGCTTAAAGTAATTTTAAAAAATCTTTTATACATTTTATCACAGCTTTAAGACCTGAAGACAGACAGCTGCTGTGGAGGGACAATGTTTTGATGAACTAAAAACTTGTCTCCAACTTTGAATAAAACTGAAATGCAACTGTCCAATTTTTGTTAATGACGGATAATGAAGCTGAACAAATGTTTTTGTCCTACAAACTTTGTCATGTCTTGTTTTTGTTTCACATCCAGGATCCTTAAGGATCATTCCATCTGATTAGGAGGAGATTTTTAGAGCATAAAATAGACATTTAGAAAGATAATTTGGACATTTTTGCGCAATATCAAATGCCTTCTATGACATAAAAAAAAAAAAGCTGATAAAATGCGTCATATTAAAATGTTCTATGTTTTGTTTGGTATTATTGTGACATTCAACTACATGTGGTTCAGAAATTACTACTAGTTGACTTCTACATTATTAACAGTTTTGTTTTGAAAAAAAGAGGGGGGGCAAATGACAAATTAAACTTTTTTGCAAATTTCAGATCACCCATGATTATTATTTAAATCTACTTGTGTAATATTGCAGATTCTGAATCAAGTGACATGACAATTTAAATGTGCATTTAAATCAGTAGTAATTGGGGGGGGAAAAAATAAAAAGTTGGAAAAAAATGCCAAGTGTATCAGCAAAAATCTAATATTTTGTAACACTAATTTATATTATCCAATATTCAGTGTTTTCCATATTTCTAGCCATGTTCAGTCTATAAAACCTTTCAACTTAAGACAATGCAGCTACTGCCCATTTATTGGAGCATTTAAATCCTCACTTTAGCAACACCAATGTGTAGAAATGAGTCAAATCACATCTGAAAGTCATACCGTCTTGTGGGGTGAGGACGAAGGTGCTTTTTGGTTGGAGTGCTCTGAACACTGTGCCTCCCTGTAGTTTGGGATGGAAGCCAATTTTGTAAGAGTAAAACAGCCTGGAACAGTCAAATGGAAAACACACTAATATTAGACAAGTTTGACTCAACATTAAGCACATGGAGGTGAATAGAAACATGTTGTAACCTCAGTGTAAAACTCAACATAAAAAGTCTTACCTGGGGAATTTACACTGCAGAGGAATGTCAAAAGGCATTTCCCTTAGAACCACACTGGTTGGCTTGTAGCTGAGCACGTTGCTGATGGACAAATAATCCACGTTGCGCTGGAATGCAAACATCTCTGGGTGGGTTTTGGTTTGTTAAAGACAGAACAAATGTACTGAAAATAAGGAAAACGTTACCAACCTCTTTCTTGAATCCACAGTTACTTTTCAGAAGGTACAGAAGGTAGTAGTACTTGCCTTTTGCTTGATTTACCGGACAAGTACCTAATTTCAAATATTTGTATGCATCCCGAGACTTAAAGATCTCTCGATTTATTCTTACGTACATTCTGTCAACATGGCAGAGGATTTCAACCAACTTTCGTTTATCTAGTTCCTCAGTTAGAGAAATAGTGGGAGGATCACCGAGTAACATTTTCCTGGCCCATTCGGGAAGGGGTCTGGCACCCTTTTGTGGCTTGAAATCCTCTTTCCTATCATTGGCATACGGGACCCTGAGGTACTCATACTTATATGCTCCTGGCAGTGAAGCTACATCAACTGATGCACTCCTCCCGAGTTTGGATTTCAGTGCAGGAGCTTCTGTTTTTTCTTCACCCATTACTGTCGCACTTCTCTCCCACTCTAATTCAGGATCTTGCAGAAACACACCGTTACCAGCTCTATTTCTGAACTGAGAACTAGACACAGAGCAGAACAGCAGGAATAAAAGCCCAGTGTGCATCAGCCCCATTTTTTTTCCCCCTCCAGTACCTGCCTCCCACTGCTGATCCTGCACCTAAGCAAGTTGAGGATGACACCAGGGTTTCACCTGGCTCTTGTATTCTGCAATCATGAGAGAATTCCCACAGCTGTCACAAATGGTAATCAGGGACAACCAATGAGAGGTGACCAATAATAATCACCTTTCTGACTTCCATAGTGGGTTTGTAAAGTATATTATAATGACCCTCATAGACTTAACTGAAGCAACAGCTGTAGTGCTTGAGTGTGTGAAAATCACGAGGCCTGAAAACAGTATATAAAGGAGGACTGGAATACAGTTTCATATCAGCACACATTGCCTGGAACACGTCCTATTTAAAAGCAATAATTTAAAAAATTGATTTGAATGCAGGGCTGCAAGGTGGCACAGTTGGTAGCACTGTTGCCTCGCAGCAAGAAGGTCGCCGGTTTGCGTCCCGGGTTCTCTGGCTTCCTCCCACAAGGTCCAAAAATATGTTGAGGTTAATTGGTGATTCTAAATTGTCCGAAGGTGTGAATGTGCTTGGTTGTCTGTCCAGGGTGTCCCCTGCCTTTGCCCTAAATCAGCTGGGATAGGCTCCAGGTCCCCCCCAGAAAGGAGCTTGATGAGCTGCTCTGTCTTTGTGGCATCACAGTGTTTAGGCATTATATCGAATTACAAAAATTCAGGATTTCAATATAAAAAATTCTGTCCATTTGTGATGATAATTTACAGCCACTTATGGTACAATAACTTGAGTTTCCTTTGTGACATAGCTATTCTCTTTTCCCACATTTTGGTAGATACTTTAAGAGAGGTCATGTCGTGTAAAACATTTTGACTTTAGTAAACAGACCAGACTTTCAAAGTGTAGCTGTGCTTCTCCTGAGCTATGAAATCCCAATAAAACTAAAGTGATAAGGTGTAAAGGGCATGGATATCTTATTAAAAAAGTCTAAATGGTTCCCAAAGCAGATTCATCACATGCACCTATGCATTTGTATATATAAAAATATATTTCATGTAATTGCCATAATCAAGATCAATCAAATTTAAAAGGGAGATTTAGAATTTAATCTGTGCAGGTTATCGGTCAGTTAGCTCATCAGAATTCTCGAGCTTCAGCAAAAAGTCCAGCTGCCTTAAATTTCAGAAAATGTAAATATTGAAAAACTTGAATAGCAAAAAAAAAGAATATTAAAAAATAAATATGGCATCAACAATAACTATATTTTTGACTCTCATTGTGTGAAATAAAATGTTAATAATGTTTTTTTAAACCGTGCTGGGATGTTACGCTGTAATGACGTCACTACCAGGAAGTTCCAACACCGTACACTTGGAAATACGCTGTGCTCGGAAGCTCAATATCCCTCGTTGGTGTTTTGTTCACAAACTAAATGAAACTGTCGTATTCGGTCCGGTAGAGTATTATACTTTGGGTAGGAATAAACAACACTTTTTGTTTACTTTGTACCTCCGCTTTGTGCGAGAATGCACTACTGTCGTTTATGTTAGCTGGCTAGCTAACAAGCCAGCTAGCAGCCAAGGTTGTTTTGATTATTAATGTGAAAATTAACGCTATATCGACGGTGTCTAGACTCAGTGTTTGCCGCCTAAATACAAAGTGTTTTTTCCATTACGCCCAGTATAATAAGGAATTTTACTTGTGTCGGATTCCACGGGGTAAACGACAATAGTGTACGTAAATCGTGGGTAGTGCACCAGTTAACTGGTTAGCTAACGTCAAACGGCGCTCGACTAGCTTTCGTTACCTCTCGTAGGGACCGTCTAGTTTGTCCTTTACCCCGAGCAGTAGACGTCTGACGAGCTTAAAAAGCTCTCTTTGAATCGGAACCAATGCGTGGGATGATGGGAACTCAGAGTAGTCCTGTCAAGAGTTACGATTATCTCCTGAAATTTCTTCTGGTGGGAGACAGCGATGTCGGGAAGGGCGAAATCTTAGACAGTTTGCAGGACGGATCAGTGGAATCTCCTTATGCCTACAGCAGTGGTCAGTATGTCTATTTCTGCTCACAGATTAATTTAAAGCCTAGAATGGCGAGCACGAACTCACTTTACATGGATTGTGTGTGATCTTAGGGATTGATTACAAGACCACCACAATTCTGCTGGACGGGAGAAGAGTGAAATTGGAGTTATGGTAAGCTTTTACAGCAGCAAAGAATAAACAAGTCTTTAGTGGTTACAGTAATGAACAAACCTGTAGCATTTTGGTATATTTACATGCTTGTGTGTATTCAACAGGGACACATCAGGACAAGGCAGATTCTGCACTATCTTCAGATCTTACTCTCGGGGAGCACAGGTGACTTGTAAAACAGTTTAAGCCCCTTTCAGACATGCGCTCCTCTTCATTAATTTGACAGCAGCTGAAAGGGTCGGCCACATGTCTGGTCACTTTTCCGATAAAGTTGCGATGGCAGTCTTCTAGGTGTATATCTCTGTATCACTTTCAATATGGCCTTAACTGCATACAGTTACAATGCCAGATAGGCATGCAAATGTGACTGTACTTAAGGCTATGCAAAGTGATTTAAGGAAGGCTTTATCCACATTTTAGCACTAATATTAGTCCAAAAACTTCACAGAGAGCAAGAGGCAATGCCAAAATCACTAAATGTCCTTCTCGTTCACTTTGCTCTACAATAGCACATCTGTCACAAATTGAATTTACCCTAAACTTCAAACTTTGCAGCGATAATGACACTCACCATTAATGAATGTAATCTGGGTTTCATCAAAACGTTTTCAGGGGCTTAAAGTTTAGTTTTCAGCTTCCAGCTGTTTGTAAGGGTCTTTCCTCTGAGTTTTATTACATATCTGTAGCGTCACACAGCTATATAGCATAGCACAGAATACCATGTCTTTACCAGACTCATGATGCTAGCAGTGTCACGTATCCCAGGTCTGAAAAGAACTTATGTGTATTTTTCATGTGTTATGGAACGCTTTATTCATGTTAGCATGTTCCACAGGGCATCCTGCTTGTGTATGACATCACTAATGGCTGGTCTTTTGATGGCATTGACCGCTGGATCCGGGAAATAGATGAGGTAATCTCCTTTAACCTTTTGAAATATAAGAAACACATGTAGATGCGGGTATATCCTGTGCCGCTGCTTGAGAAAGGTCATTATCTATTTCTAGCTCTGGTATAGAGTCTGTACACTAAAGAGTTGGCATAGCATTTCAAAGAGACACACTGGAACTTGGTAACCTGATATTACAGCAATATTATGTTGTTTCCATCAGCATGCCCCAGGTGTGCCCAGGATCCTCGTGGGAAACCGGCTTCACCTGGCTTTCAAGCGGCAGGTGCCAACGGAGCAGGCGAGGGCGTATGCAGAAAGGAACAGCATGACGTTCTTTGAGGTCAGTCCGCTGTGCAACTTCAACGTCATCGAGTCCTTCACAGAGCTTTCACGCATTGTGCTGATGAGGCACGGGATGGAGAAATTCTGGAGGCCCAACAGAGGTGAGCCAGTTAATAATTTTTTTCCCCCTAGGGATTCTGTCACGTAATTAATATGTTTTTTTTTCTGTTGTCACAAAAAGGTCCATTGTCACAAATGACAAAAACTTTTGGCAGAAGGATTCAGTTTTATTTGATATAGATTTTATTTCAAATAAACTTTCTCAGCTATATATTTGCACAGGCTGACACAGCCATGGCAAATACGATTAGATTAATCATGCAGCACTAATATACACTTCTGAAATTCCTCCTCACACCCAGTGCAGATATTCATGGAATTGACATTCATATGTACTCTTTAAAACATTTCAGAAATAGAATTCAAAGGCATTGTGAATTCAGAGTTAGCCTGGACAATGCCCAGTTGCAGTAACAGTTTTCACTGGTACTCTTACTACAAGCAGTGTGACATGTATATGGGCTGTTTATTTACAATTTCATGATACTTCACAGGACCAATTTCTAAAATGCACACCCTAGAAATCTAACTTTACCTGTTCTCTCAGTAGTAAGTAAAAGTTCCAACTTAGAAAGTTGGAGCTTATTTAACTAATTGGTTGAATATTAACTCACTGTCAACACTGTTTGGTTGAACAGCTTAACTTGTCTTTAAGGTGTGATATGTTTTCTCTTACCAAACAAAATACTATAAAATGTAGGAATATATGAAAACAACACAAATATGTTGTTTGCTATATGAAGGAATACATATTTGGAAAGCTGTGTTAATTAAATCAGTATTTTAGATATCTTCCAACAGATCAACAGGTGTTTAAATGTGTGTTATTCAGAGAGCTTGATAAGACACTGAAAAAAGGAGTGAAAAATGTATTAGGTTAACAAAACAAAGCTGAAATATTATTTAACAACATTAAACAAAAACAAAAGTCATAGTGCAAACTGTAAAAAGGAACTTGCTGTGCTGTAAATGTTTGTCTGCCAGCTTCCACCAGCTTGTTTATTGTACTTTACAGGAACAGTGAAAATATGTATTGAAGTACTGGGAATGTCTCATAATTTCACATCCATTTTTTAATTTTTTTTTGTTCCACAGTCTTCAGCCTCCAAGATCTGTGCTGCCGTTCGATCGTCTCCTGCACCCCAGTGCACCTCATCGACAAACTGCCCCTCCCTGTGGCCATCAAGTCCCACCTCAAGTCTTTCTCCATGGCCAATGGCATGAATGCAGTCATGATGCACGGACGCTCTTATTCGGTGGCCAACAGCGCAGTGTCAGGTGGCGGCAGCGGTGGTAGCAAAGCCAACAGTCTCAAACGCTCAAAGTCCTTCAGGCCTCCACAGAGTCCTCCAAAGAACTCCTCGTCGTCCTCAAAGGGGAACTGTAAGATATCATAGTGAAGGAGTGGACTAATGGTTGCCTCCATTGGGCCAGTATTAAAAGTGTTGTTGCTCCAAGAGGTCACGAGATCAGAGACGAGAGCTGCCAGCAATCTTCATCTGGGACAGATATAGCTGTGAACTTACCTTGACCTTTGGAAACTGACTGGGCAGGTTGGATTGGTTTCTGTTCTCTTTGCACTTGCTGGTGCCATCTTGTGGATGTTTGTTTACCTGTACTCTTTACTACAGAGGCTCACTGTGATCAAGTAGAACAAGGTTTCCCTGGGACCAACAGATGTGAATCAAGAATTATCACTCACCTGTCAACACTACAAACGAGTGGAGGAACAATAACTAGCTTTTATTTGGAAGAGGATTGGTAATTGGTATTTAAAGCTGGACTTAAAGTTGTAAATATCCTTTATGTGCTGTTGTTTTGGTCTGTGTTTGGTGAACGTCTTGAGAAGGAGATTCTTGTTTTTGTGTTGGATGTTTTGGGAGACCTGCTTTGATATGTCTTGACACATTTTGTCTAAAACTCTCTTTGCAACCTCCAGGGTGCTGAGCTACTTGTTCAAAACTTAAATTAAGTTTTAAATAAGCCTGGCTTAAATTGAATGCCATGAGAAGAGTGAGTATAGTTTCCCAGATGGGGCAGAACTGAAGACAAATTCAGGAGTTATTCATTTAAAAACATTTTCACCTTGGCGCTATTTAATCTGTGAAGCTGTCCAGAAGAGTCAAGCCAAGTTGACTTGTTTGCAAGACTTCCTGCAGTGCCCCTAAATATTAGCCCAAATGAATTCACCCTCCATCTCTGTCATTCATTGGTTTGGACATCAGTTGTCTTATTCTGACCTTTTTATTCCTCTAAAGCCAATCTTTATTGTATCACCACTTTAACCGGTTAATACCATGAACAGCATGATAATCTGTAAAAACTCCTGGGGAAAATGAAACAATTTCCTGGGGCTGATGAGAAAATCTTGTACAAACATGTGTACAGATCATTTACTCATTCTTGGTGTTTTTTGCCTTCACAAAATTCTGTGTATGAATTCACAAAACTCACAGGACATCGGTGAGAGGAATATTTTAAATGGGTTGCTTTTTTGGGGGGATATTTTATGTACATGCTATGTATTTATGAATGTAAAACGATACTCATCTGCTACTTCTCTGTGGCCATGTGGTAAAATGTGAGATTGTAAGAATTGGAGGTGGAAAGCTATCGGGTACATATACTTCTGTAGTAATTTCACTCAGCATTGCTGCTTGTTTGAGTATTTGTACTTTTGCTGCTTAAGTTAATTCTTATCCTCCAGCCTTTAAAAAAAAAAAGTATGTATAATAGGAGGGCTTACAGTGGGTGTTTACATTGGAAGAAGCATTTTGGACACAATGCAAGAGCCATGTAATGACAAAATGAAGACTTCAGAATGGAGTATTTTAATCAAAAATGATATTTTCTTTTAATAATTGAACAATTGATACAAATGTGTTTATTCTGGTATAGATTCTCATTTTGGTGCCACCTCTGATGAACGTGCTAAATTCCTACTTTTCTAGTGTCATGGTTACATGTTTGTATTAAGATCATGTGGGGCTTAAAAGAAATTGGTGCATGTTTCCATTACGCCTGTTTATTGTGGTGTATTGAGACCAGAATTCTTGAATGAACATTTAAAGCACTATATGGAACCGTTTGATTGGTACTATCAGAGCTGTGTGTCTCAAGGTTTGGCATAAATGATCATTTTATCTCCATTCTAAACAGTCATCCTTCGAAATAAAGGGTAAAACTCCAAAATTGATTTGTTTGAATTTGTTTTCGCCGTTTTGTGTAGCCATATTAGAATATTTTCTCATATAAGCATTTATCAAAGTCTTTGTGGGAGTTATTTTTTTTTTTTTTAACTCCCTTTGTCCGGGGTCCGGGGCCGCCGGTGCTCGGGTGTAATAAAGCCGGGGGGGGGGGCTGAATTGATTATCTGCTCTCTCGGTATTGGCCAGTTTTTGGATAACACCGCCGCAGCGCATGAATGCAGCGCGGTCAGAAGTCACCCAAAGGTTGCAGGGTCACTTCCAATGAAAGGATGAGGGGAGCTGCTTCTCATCGCCCTCTGAGCCTCTGAGCTGAGCCCACGGGACAAAGATGAGTCGCACACTGTTGAAAATGTGGCGTTTTACGTCTTCCCACCTGACCGCGGCATCTCTGAGGTCCTCGTGAATGAGGGACGCTGGTAAATTGACCCACGTCTAGACAAGCAGGACGTAAACAACATGTTTTGCGAGACATGATGCGACACGCCCCGTGTTTGGCTTTTCGCTTTGAGCCTTAAGACAACTTTTGCATTTTCGCTCCTTTGGATTTGCGGGAAAAAAAATAAAAAAAATACAAGCGTCTTAATAGATCTGTGCGTAAACCACATGGAAGTATCCAGTCACAACCTAAAGTGGAACTAAAACCAGCAGCTCTTAGCAACAAAACAAGTCATTACCTTATTTATGAATGACACCTCTATAAATTCTGTCTGGACGCATTTAACATTGGATTTCTCACCGGAATGCGTGGCTCCGTGGGCACCGTTGTTGAGACAGCTTGCAAGCACGACCGCAGCGTTTGCTTTGATGTTTTTACAATGTTTGTCCAGTTGCTTAGCGCATGGTGCTGCTTCATAAAAGTTTCAGACACTGGACGACCACGGGGGCGGTCAGAGGGGTTGCCCTTTCCACCTCCATTCACACTCTGAAAGGCTGATGTTGCGTCTTTCTCTCTCATTGTGCGGTTTCGTTCGCTTATTTCGCTGGTTCGGCTGTCGATTCGATTTTTTCCCCCCGCATTGTTGCACGACTTTTGAATATCAATACGAATAATTTAATGCAACCCACTGGGATTTCTTTACTCATTACAGGGATATATTTTGTTCACTAAATGTCCAGCGCACGGGAACTCGTCTGGATCGTTGGGAATACAAGTTTTCTCTTTGCGCGCAGCAAACTGAGTTTCATGATTACGCACAAAACGGATGGGCACATTTGAAAATCCACAATAGCCATCCTCCTTTTCTGGCGACGCAAAGGAGGAATGGAATTACCCAGCTGGCGACTCATACAAAAGAGCAACAATGCATAAAATCCCCCTGCAACACTTGGAGGATATAAAGGATACAAGTTGGCATAACGCACCCAATAAACTACTACCAGGATGGACACGTGCGTATTTGTTGATGCTCTTGGTTTGCGATTTACTCGAACTTTCTTTGTGTGCAAGTGTGGCAGGAGCCAAAGTTAAACACGATGGACTTTGTCCTAACAAGCTAAATTCCAATCTTTGGGTTGATGCGCAAAGCACCTGCGAGAGGGAATGCAACATAGACGAGGTGAGGCCATTCAAATATCTAAATCCGAAATGCACTTTACTTATTATTCAAATCAGTTTGTGTTTTCTTAATTGTAATTAGGCATTTTGACTGCTGCTTTATATATTCTGTGTTCAGGACTGTGCTGACTTTGAGAAATGCTGCACCAATGTGTGTGGCCTCAACAGCTGTGTTGCTGCTCGGTTCTCTGATGGCACTCCTGCTCAGCCAGATGGGCAGGGTGGAGAGAAGGGAGATGCCACCCCCGCCACTACAGCTACCTGTGAGGGCTTCATCTGCAGCCAGCAGGGAGCCACCTGTGACATCTGGGATGGACAGCCGGTCTGCAAGTGCCAGGACCGGTGTGAGAAAGAGCCCAACTTCACCTGTGCATCAGATGGCCTCACCTATTTCAACCGCTGCTACATGGACGCAGAGGCCTGCATCCGGGGGGTGAGTTTAACCGTGGTCCCCTGCCGCTTCTACCTCACCGGGCCTCACACCAGCCCGTTGCCTCAGGACACCACAGTTCACCCCACCCCGACATCCTCCCAAGAGGACCCCCTGCCCCCCACGCTGTACTCCAACCCGCACCACCAGTCCATCTACGTCGGAGGCACAATCAGCTTCCACTGTGACGTCATTGGAGTCCCCAGACCTGATGTGACTTGGGAGAAGCAGAGTGACCGGCGGGAGCGGCTGGTCATGAGACCAGACCAGATGTACGGCAACGTAGTCATCACCAACATTGGACAGCTTGTCATTTACAACGCCCAGGTGTGGGACACAGGTATCTACACCTGTATTGCACGGAATTCTGCTGGGGTTCTTCGTGCAGACTATCCGCTGTCCGTCATTCGCCGGGCTGATGATGATTTCTCTGAAGATCCAGAGATGCCCATGGGGCGGCCGTTCTCACCGGCAGACTGCCTGGCTGAAGTCGACCTGAGAGTGTGCAGCGCAGAGCGTCACGTTGACTGGTATTACGACAGCAAGCTGGGCTCCTGCATGACCTTCAGCAACGGCGGATGTGATGACAGCCGCAACCGATTCGAGACTTACGAGGAGTGCAAAGCCTCCTGCCAGAGAGAGGGGATGGGGATCTGCTCCCTGCCTGCTGTCCAGGGCCCCTGCAAAGCTTGGGAGGCTCGTTGGGCCTGGAATTCTGTAATGAAACAGTGCCAGGCTTTTGCATACGGTGGCTGTCATGGGAATGCCAACAGCTTCCATACCAAAAAGGAGTGTGAGGCAAACTGCCCACAGCCCAAAAGGAAACCTTGCAAGACCTGTAGAGTGAAGGGGAAAATGGTGCCCAGCTTATGCAGAAGTGACTTTGCTATTGTTGGCCGGCTGACAGAGCTGGTGGAGGATCTGGACTCTGGATTAGCCCGCTTCAGCTTGGAGGAGGTTCTGAGGGACGAAAAGATGGGCTTGACCTTCTTCAACACTAAACACCTCGAGGTGACTATCGCCAAGATAGACTGGAGCTGCCCCTGCCCCAACATCACCATGGAGGAAAACCCTCTGCTGGTGATGGGCACGGTGCAGGACGGCATGGCCATCATTCAGTCTGACAGCTATGTCAGAGCCATAACTGAACGCAGACTCAAAAAGCTGCGCGATGTTATGACTAAAAAGAACTGCGAGGCATCATAAAAGTTCAGAAACTTGTTGACCTGCAGAAGTACTGTGGTCATGTTTACAGCTCGAACTGAGGACAAGCATAAGAACTGCAACAAAAAAGCTGATATTTAAAACACAATACGTTAAATATTGCATGTAAATGAAGTTATGGCATCATTTGTATATATTCATTCCAACACAGGTTGTTCTACATTCCACATGTGTTGTGAGCCCATTTATGCTGAAATGCTGTTTTCAAAGAGGCTTAAATATAGATTTTTTTAATCGATCTTTTGATATGTAATGTGTACTTTTGTATTGTAAGATAGCAGGCAGAATAGCTGCTATACAAGATGACCATGTTGCAAAAAATCTAGGTTGTGCTACTACAGAAATAGACAGTCTACCACCTCTAGTTTATTTTGCTTTGGGCTCATTGCATGAGTTATTTACGTAGGTGCTTTGCACAGATTTTCTTTGTTTTATGTAATGTACATTATATTCTCTCTTAATTATGTCCCTCTGGAAAGCACTTCTGCTAAGTTAGTTTTAGGGAAATTTAAAAAAAAAAGAAAAAAAAAAAGGAAAAGAATAAGCGGTTGTCCTAAGGAAAATAGAGAACACAGGCCACACATCAGTAAGGCTTAAGAATTTTACTCAAGTGTGCAATACAGAAGAATATAGTGGATCATAGATTAGAGAATAACAGTTCAGATCAAATATATTAATCTAATGTCATTGTGTATTAGAATACAGAGAGAACATTATTCATTTCGAGTTTTTGAAAATCTGGCACTGTATCTGAGTTTTGCGTTTAAGTTAAGGCGCTTCGACCGTCCTGCTCCAAAACTGGTCTGCATCCAGGACTCTTCACACCAAACTCTCCTTCCTGAACAGAAGACATTTGTTGTTTGCTGGCATGTCCACCTACAAAAGAAAATGTAACATCAGCGAACCATTACACTCCAATAACTGCATTGTTTATGTTCACTTTGAGATAAAATATGTGTTGGATGATTAAATGAGGTGCTTGCTTACCATTTTCTCCAGGTATAAACCATTTCTTTGTGCCAAAGAGTTGAGGAGTGCGATATCCCTGAGTCCCCATTCTGGATTCCTGCAAGATAAAACGTCAACTTTTAAAATCCAATGGTTGGTTTTGTTTTGTTTGGTTCTGTTTTTTGTTTTTTTTAATTATGGGGCTGACAGAAATACATGAACTTTTTTTCTTTATATGCATTTTGTACTTAAAGGTTTTGGCTTCATATGGCATTAAGATATCATAAACCTTTTATGCAGAAAATGCAGTGTCAAGATGTAAGTACAATACATGGCTAAAAATGACAATAAGTAAGCTTAAATAAGACTAGAATAGAAGAAGTAATAAGTAATAGAGGCACTAATTCTGAGGTAGTAAAGTATTATCATGAAATTTTTCACATCAAAGAACACATGCTACTTTATGATGAAGGAAAAACCTTTTTATTTTCAAATAACTACAACCACTCAGCTCCTTTCAGACATTTAAAGCCTCTTCATTACACTATTAACTTCCACAAAGCATTAAAACGATCATAAAATACAGAGTACTTTACCTCTGCCGGAGGCTGTAGTCAAAGTCAATGTTGCTTTGAGGGCTGATCTGACCGTTCACTGAGTAGGGCTGACAACGACAACAAAACCTTATGCAGCTTCTGTTGTTATACTTCATTTTCAGATACGATAGTCGCATGTGGTGTGTGTATTTCTGACTCACCCCGTATGTCAGCAGAAGACCTTGCGGCTTCAACACGGCTCCGGCCCCTTTGAACAAACCCTGGAAGAAAACAACGAGGCACTAGCATCACATCACAGGCGGTGGGGGGGGGGGGGCAGAGGCAGCTACTGAAGCCTTTTTGTTCTCGGCCTCTTTTATAGATTGCAAGGCCTAAGGCAGATATTGTAAAGGGGCACCGCTTACAGTAATTGTCTGAGGAGTTATGTGTCAAAAGGGTTGTAGTGTAATTACACTGTGGGGGAGAACACACTGCATTATTTCTACTTTATGTAACTTAAACACCCAGAGCCAGTCAATTTATCAGTCAAAACAGCCAAACTAGGTCAATTTTTAAAAGGAGAACTGACTGAATATTTTTCTCATCACTGAAAAGTAGACTCTAAAGGCATTAAAGCACACTCTAGTCGAATCAAGACACTCAAAGGTTGTATTTCTACAGCCTTACTTTGTTGACTCTTCTACAATTATGCTATTATTAGAGTATGTTTAAGCCGTTACCTCTCTCCTGTAATGGCTACTTGTGGCGACAGTGAACTCAAACTAAAAGTAACAAATAGTTGCCTTTAAATAATGAATCAAACATTCAAAATATCTTGCTCCTAGCCTCCCTTTTAGAGATTTAAACAACGGTGTAAGGTGGAATCTGTGTATATAGGGTAGGTTTTTGAAAAAAGGAGGTTAGGGCCCCCAGGTAAAAATGTGACCTTTACTAGCAATTAGTTGATGGGTTGATTAAATAGGAATTTGTTTGGTAAACACAAAATAAACAAAAATAACAAAGGCCACCAATTAGATTTTCTCTCAGAGTCCCTCTGTTGAATAGAACCACATTAGATTGTAAAGCAGGTAGAAATAAGGTTTTAAAAATGTATCTTTGCGTATCAAAGTCATATATTTAATTTTTTTTCCCATGAAAATAATCCTTTCCTGTCTTTAAGTTGCTTCTATGTAACTCCACAGGGTTGCTCATCTTGCCCTGCTCGCTGCAGCTCAGCGCACCAGCTCACGTACCACTCTGCTCAAACACTGTAAAACTCATTTACGTCACACAATGAGAAGTTGCAATATTGTTGTAATTCAGGCAAATATGTGTGACCTGGAAACTGATTCCAAAGAGGAATAATAATATGCAAAACACCACCCCACAACTTGACGGGAATGGTTGATTTGGTTTGTTACATATGAAACCCAGGAAGCCTGAATCCATGTTTTTAGGACCGTCACAGGTACACTGCAGTCTTAAAGGGGAATGCGATAGCGTTGACTTCTTATTTTCAACATTCACGAGAGTTTATTTTTCACATACAGCATGTGCAGCGAAATGCAAAGTTCCACAAGGCTGCACAACAAGATAAAGACATGATATAAAACATTACAAAAAAAAAATCAAAAAGTCATACAATCATAAATAATAAAGAGGGAGAGAATGTGAAGCTAAAGTGTTGCAGCCATATGTGAGTGTGTTGATATGTTATGCATAAGCGCATGGGTGCGTGTGTGCTCATATACATATTTACACAGAGCCAGTGTGCTGTAGCTCAGAGATGAGATGCTGTGATGTAGATTTAAATAAACCTGAGGACAGAAGCTCTTCCTGAGTCTCTCTGTGTCTGCCTTGATTTTTAGCAGGCATCGACCAGAGCATAGCTGTGAAAACAGATGTGCTCAGATTATGTGTTCCAGCACATATAAAAAAAAAAAAACACCACATGAAAATACAACAAGGTATTTAACATTATACTGTGCTTTAGCACACTGACGATTTATCAAATTGCCACAAAAATCAGTTTTGGGTTAAATAAGACCAATCAGCACATTCTATGGCTCTATCAAAAAAAATAAAAAATAAAAATCTGCAATCCTACCTCTGTACAAGCAAAAGGAGAAATGTGAATCATGTTGATGTTGAGGACCAGGTCCAGGCTCTCTGGTTGGATCCCTCCCCAGTACTGATGAGGCAGAGAAGCATCCAGGTGGATGGGAGGCATCACATTGCTCAGCTGGTAGTGAGCTCTGTAGGCTTCTATACTGAGAATGGGAACAAAAGGTATTATTGTTAATGGAGATACGAGACAAAAAACCCCCAAAAACACTTGACCAGCACAGTGATGCCACACATCAGTAGTGCTACTAAGTGTAATAGTAACACAAAATCCATCCCTCTTATAAAATGGGAAATAATAGCAGAGTTACAGGGCCAGGTTTTGCATCAGGGGTCACTACGCAGAAATTAATAATTACCTTCAACATGAGAGTATATGGGCTATTTATAAGGTGCGATATGAATCTAAATAGCTGCCAACGGATACACACAACCTGCGTTTACCTGACCAGAGACTGTCGATCGTACTCAGAGGGCTGCCAGGTTATATTCCGCAGGGCCTGAGAGAAGTGTGTGACATGCTGCCCAGTACCGGAGGAGATCTCCAGAGCCAACAGGGGTCTCCCGGTGCTCACATTCTCCAGGAGCACCGCCAGGATGGGCTCCTTGTTCCTCTCCGCGGCGGCGGCGCTCAGCATCGTGCCAAACCCAAAGTATAACTGTCGAGTTATACGGTACAGCTTACGAAACCACTCCAGCAGCACCGTGTACCTTTACAGCAGACTGACTCACTCAAATCCACCCCCGAATGTTTTGGTTTTTGCCTGAAAATGGTCCATTTCCGCGTCAGACCACGTGACTCACCACGCAGCCAATAAGAACGCGGGGCGGGCCTGACTCCTGCACATGCGTTATAAAAGAACAACATGCAAATAAAAACCTACGTTTTACACAGAGGGCTTCTTTATTTAAGGGAAAATAGCATTCAGGTTCACACGGCATTTTTTGTTTTTTTTACAAGATATACACATTTTGTCACATATGAACATTATATCCCTCTTCAAGCTCGATTCAAATCTAATAGACACAGAACACAATGGAACAATAAGTTAAAAGTTCTGTATGGGTAACAGGAAGACATATCAGTAAAAATTAACAAAATATTTTGACGAGTGCAAATATACAGAACACGGGATTGTCCAAAGTAAAGGTAAATAGGTTTGACTCACAAGCACCAATACAAGTATTCATGGGCAAAGGAGGGCGTCTATCTGTAAATACTAAACATCATTTGTGCAAAATGAGAACGAGGAGGGAAAGATGACACTGTGAGTCTCTGGATGTATTGCTCAGGTATATTACACTGAAAAAGATGACAGAAAATAATCAGACAAAAAAACAAACAAACAAACAAAAACATTTTTATTGAAGACACCCTTTGATATATCTGTGGACTTAGAAGATCAGCGGAATACAGTGCAAACACATTAATTACAGTGATTTAAAATGTGTGCTTGATGAAAACTGCCACCTGCTGTCTATTATTGAGTGAACATAAGATGACATGATGGCAGTTTTCATGCAATTGTAAGCGGCTTGTCCTTCCCCTGCAGCCCATCTGCATGTTCTGCATTTTGACTCCGCTCGTCTTCCATGCCGAGCAGTGTTTGTGGTGTGTTTTCAGATTCTAGGCTCTCAAGATGACCGTTTTGCACAGGAGATGGATTCAGACAGGGAAAGGTCTGGTTGGTGTCGGCAAGGTCCAAACCAGCCGTGGTTGTAACCACGGTATCACTAAAGATTGTGTTTGAGAAGACAGAGTTAAAAGTGAATGAGGACCCAAAGAGCGACTCCTGCACAGGAGATTTGGGCTGATCTGTGGGAACAACTGCCGGGTCTCTTGGAGGTTTGACAGGAGGAACAGGCTCTGGCTCACTGTTCTTAGTTTCTGGTTTTAGATCTTGACTCGCTGTTTTCTCCTGATTATTGCTTTCTTCTGAAACCTGGACAGGGAGCTGGTCGGTCTTGACTGCCCCTTTGCAGTCACTGCTGACACTGGCGCGTCGGGATGAGCCCTCTGCTGTAGAAATGACACTGCTGGCACGAGGGAGAGTTTTGGGTGACTTACACCCTTTCAGCCGCCCTTCTTTCACCAGAGGGGTGGAGAAGCAGTTGAGGCAGCCGGACATGGAGGATGACTTACCTTGAACATATAACACTGTGATCGGTGAGCAAGCGGAAGCTCGGGTAGTTTCAGCTCTGCTATCACTCAATTTTGAACTCATTCCAGTGAGCCCTGGGTTTATTTTGCCTCCTGAATCTGACGAGCGACGTGTCACCTTCCCCCTTGGCTCCCTTCGGATGCTTTTTGTTCCCCTTGTGAGCCAGAAGTCCTGAGACAGCACGGGATCTCTCTGTTTCTGGACATCTGCACACTGACTGTTAGTGGGCATGGTGGAGGCTTTCCCCTTGTGCTGCTGCTGCTGCTGCTTTGTGTGGTGTTGGGGAGTGGAGGTATCACTGGGTGCTTGGAAGGAAGAGCGGCGTGATGGAGGCTGCTGAACAGGGCTGCTGCCGTTTGACCACGGCTCGTTCTCCATGCTCAGGCTGAACTCGCCGCTGCTCTCACTTTGGGCTCGACTCTGGATCCCATTCAGCCCTGCAAAAAGATTATATTGGTTCAATAAAGAGCTACGATATAATACACACACACAAATAACATCATGAGAAGTCTGTCAGCTGTGTGATATTCCCAATGGCCACCAGGGAGCAGCAGAGTAAAGTCTTCCCATTGGTTGCTGGCCTTGAAGATCAGCATACAGATTAATATGAAACAAGGTCATGATTGCGATTTGATGGATTTACTCTAATTCCTGAGCTGGTAATACATCTGTATGCTTGCTGAATCCTCTAAACGAGTATCCAGAGACTTGTACCGTGATGCTGCTGCTCGTCATTGTCCTCAAATCCAGATGGTGCTCTGTTGTCATTCGAATCCTTGTCTGTGGGGAATAAAACGAGAAATCACTGAGCGGTTGTAAGTGACACTTTTCAACACTTGTAGCTTCTATGAGAGTGCTGTCATTGTTCTACTCTACGCTTTGTTCTAACATGTGACTAATGCAGATGATATGAAACAAAACAGTGGTTCATGGATGCCTCTATACCTGCCACCCACTGCTCAGAAACAACTGGAGCAGTACCAGTGTCGATGCTGTCGAGATGGCCAGATGGTACAGTGGTGGGATGATGAAGGTGGAGGATGGACAACATGGAAGTGGTGAGGGATGAGGTCAGTGGGTCCTTCCTGCCCTCCTCCATATCACCCTCTGACCCTTCCAGCTGTTCTGAGCTGTCGGCCTGCCGGTTCGTCTCAAATTGGGCCGAGGGAAAGGATAAGCTGCTCAATGCTACGTTAGTAGACGAAGCAATGGAAGGAGTTGGAAGTGGATGAGGGAAAGGGATAGAGGGGTGAAATGGTCGTGGAGATTGTAAGAATTTTTTAAAAATGTATTTTTTTTTTCCTGTAATGTGGTCAACGTGGAGACAGCACAAAAATACTACATGATGCTCTGAAACACACTTCATCTGGTTTCTGGCAAAACTGGTGCAGCACTAGTGTCTTCCTGCAATGCAGCATTTCTTTGACCCCCATTGTTCCAATAAAAGACCCCAAACTGTTTTAAATATAGCCACTCTATTAGATGTGCTAGAAAGGGATGCTGAAACAGTCTGTGATATCATAATTATTAGGTTAGTGTGGTGAAATGAGGTTAGCATGGATGGACACATTGCTAACATATGACCATTAATTTTAAACCCTGCTGGCTACAAAGATTTATAATCAAGCAACGTTCGTAGCTACGTTAGCATTATGCATAATGTACATAATGTAAAAAAGAAGTACTGATAGAATTATTAAGGCAGAAGTGGGAGAAAAGGCGACAGTTGAGATGAGACTGGACGCCGAACCACAGTGTTTCTTACACATGGAACGACGGAAGAGGGACTTGACTTTGTCTCTGTCCTTCAGTCTGTTCCTCATACGGGGAAACATTTTCAGAGTGGCTTTTTAACATCAAGTGCGACCACGTGGGAGGTTGACAGAGGAGACGGGAGGGAGGGAGGGAGGGGATGGATGCAGCAGAGGGAGAGGGAAGTAAGGGCGGAGAGAGGTAGGAGGAGAAGGAAAAGACAAGGGAAAGAAGGGAACCAAGGGTGATGAATAAATACATAAAGACAAGAGAAAGACACAGGGGAGACATACTCAGGATTGTTGAAGAAAGTTCACACACCTCATGCATCAGGAATAATGACACTTTGGACATGATACACACAACATATGCTTGATTTTTAACATGCCGAACTGGCTTCTGCATGACTAAAATCTCTTTCTTTGCATGTAAGCTTGAGGTAATAAGAAAACTTCACAAAAGGAGAATTTTCTCTTGCAGTCATGCACATTTCAAGCAATGGCTAATATTGTTTTCTGTCCAGGATTCATTATGTGAAGGTCGTGTATTATGGATATGATCAAACAGACAAGGGCACATGTGGTGAAATAGATTTACTTTAAAAAGAGTTGTTGCATCTCAAAATGCTGCAATAGTGTATGTGTGTGTTTTTTTGTTTTTTTCCATATTTTTGGACAGATGATTGTCCTTCAAATGAAGCTTCAGGTATCGATGAAGCTTCCCCTGTGCCTCTCTGTGCACTGGCTGCCAGCTGGACCTCACATGAACTCTCTCCGGCCTGCTCTGTACGCTCTGCCTCTGATGATGCTCTAGTGAATCTGAGAAGGTCATACTCACTGCTGTTACGCCGGGGTGAGATGGCATCACCTGCTGAGGTGGAGGCTGAGCCTCCGGAGCCATCTGAGCTGATGAAGGAGCTGTTGTCGTGAGACGAGAGGTGAGCCTCTGCAAGGCCTGAGTGTGTGGGGGTGGGCGGGCGCTCGCGTCCATGCTCTCTGCTGCTGGATTTCATCAGCTTCTTTAGCTTCAGAGTTATCCAGTTGCCACGTCTGTGGAAGAGCAGATATACAAGAGAAGTGACAAACCATACAGATGTAAGACATACAGGAGGGTGGGCTGGTCTGCAGAATGCAAGTATTGGGCAAAAGGGAACCAAAAATATCAATGTTCAGATTAAACAATAGACACTTAAAGCTGCTATTGTCAATATTATGTTAACAATGGACTACTTTACATTAAAAATGACTGTGTGCTACTCGTAGTGACAAATAGAGAACTATTAAGCAGTATGGCAATTCGTCTACATTTTACGGAATGTTTTATCCTGTTCCAGCTCCTTGTTTTGGTTTTATGTCCTCAAACATTACTGTTTTGGCAAACTCTCTTGGGTACATCTGGCAAGTGTTCTCATGGGAAAAGCTCTAAAAACCAAACTGCTCAATGCCAAACAGCAGGGAGATAAAATTAGCGACAAGTTGGCCCAAAAGAAGTTGGTGGAGACAAAACAAACCTAGAATGAATAGTGCTGTTGGTCCGTACCAGTTGATTTGTGGAAAAAACAAACAAACAAAAAAACCAAACAAAAAAAACCCAGCTGTTTGCTCACAATTTTAACTTTTTAACTTGAAAATGAATGATATATCAGTGTTTTGTGAGAGTTTGTTTGTGAAAAATATCAGTTGATGTGGTTTAAACAGGCTGGCTGCTAACCTGTTAACACATGCTCTGCTATTCAGACATTAGGAAGTCTGTATCTGTGTTTCTGACTGCACTGTGAATATTTCTTTTAACAAAAAACAGGAACTGAAGTGTATGTGAATTTAAATAACATATATTGTGTCTCAACAGTGTAAATTAAAACTTGGAAACA